GATGTTCAGGTAGAACGTTATCTAAAACAGTTTGTATTGCCCATCAGTTCAGGACGAAGAAAATAAGATCCGATGAGGTGGTCACCAATAATTTCAACCCAAATATTTCCGGAAAACTGCCTTTGGAAATAATTTTCAATCAGAGAGTATGGAATGGCGTAATCTGCGAATTTTATCAAAGAGAAAGATGTGGGTACAATAATTACTTTATAGTAAATACCATAATTGAAAATGATTAATATATTTTGAAAAATTATTCAGTATTTGCAACCTGTTTAGGTATTTCGTAGCGGGTTTTGCATTTTGTATACCAAAGTGGCCGACACTTTAATATTTATTTTCACGCCGCCGCCCGTCGTTTAAAATAAAAAATCCGTCAGAGATAGTTAACGATAGCGGCTTCGGCTTATGCTGCGCCTTCCAATTTTCAACGGAACGGGCAACAAGATCACCGGCCTGGCCCTTACTTACTATCAGCGCCGGCCTCTCTTAAAGTGGTGCCTAATAACAGGCCCAGCTTTACATAAATACTGAGTCACCACAGCGGGTCGTGAAAGACTGCTGGAGTTTGGGTTAACCTTTTTCAAACATTGGCGTGCGTTTTTAAAACATGTACTCGAGTGCGTTGTGTTTGGACGTAATTTTTTCAGATTTTGCTCGTTTACGCGTAGCATCGCTTTCATGCATGTTTCTGGTGGTTTCCATTAGTTCCAACAACACTTTACACTTTGTGGGTACTTATTTCCATACATTCTCCATGGGGACACCGCTTTCGTGTGCCCACCGGCTATTAACAGAATAAGAAGAACCCCCCCTCCGTCAACACCCTAAAGATTGTCCATCTCCTTATCAACACAACAAGCATGGTTGAAACCTGATAGCCTATTCGAAATATTGTGAGAATTGAGAAATTATTTTTTTTCTCTTTTTGACGATGTATAAAGTGTGTCTCAAAAAATTATGATAGGTAACATTATTGAAAATAAACCTATTTTATTTCTTGTTCCAACAACGAAAAAAAGTTTCTGGTTTTCACTAATAAGTTCCTCTCATAGCTCATAGAGCGTTTGATAGCAGCAATTGTTCTTTGTAAGTCGCAATTTTAAATTAAATTAAATTAAATTAAAATGTATTTTATAGTCAGTATTATATTAGTATACCTGAAAGCAGATTGACAAAATGTGATACAGCACACAGCTATTTTGCTATATGGTTAGTTATAATATTATACTAGTTGTGATAGTTACATTAGTGACATACACAAACTAAAGGTATCAGTTAACTTAATGCAAGTGGTATTCCATACAGGTTTTTTTATTATCTATTCATTCTGACACTTCTGAAAACCCTGTATCGGATTAAGGAATTAAACTACTAAATCGTGATATCCTCGGACTTCTCTGCCAAAATTTGACTTAGACATTCTTTTCTTAACAAGCTAAATTTATTTATTTTTCTGCCATCTTAATCAGTATTATTTCTTTAATTTTAAACTTAATGTTGAAGTTAGTAGAATGTCTCGTACGGGAAGTAGATTTAAAATTTTGAGCTGAATACAAATTTTATTGAACAGCATAATAAATGTATCTATGCCATAGAAATTGCAACACCCAGTGAATATTAAGTTATAATGTTTGTATAATTGTATAATGTATAATGTTTTGGCGGTTGGCATTTTCTACTATTTCCTAAACGTTGTTTTGTCGTACAAATGAAATTATTTTTTGTTTGTTCAAACAGCTCCTTAATTATTATTTGGCATTGTTCCTTTTTACTCATTATTACGTTTTACAATACAGCTATTAATTAACGGTCAAACTTTCTTCTTCAATCGAATTGATTACGAAGTTCATTGTTACTTATCGTAATGGAAAATATCGTAGGTTTCTCGGTAACCGCCAATCCAGAAAATTCGTATTCGAAATCAAACTAAGAAAAACAATTAAATTGAACTATTTATTTAAACAAAATTAATTAAAAAAAAAAAGAAGTTATTAAGAAACTGGGTAAGGAATAATGGTTGTCCAACAACATTGTTAATAAATTGATATCTATTAATAATAGTTTATCAAGACAATCAAATACTGAAAACATATCTTACTTACTTGGTGAATGGGGTTTGCGGTGCTTAATATGGTAAAAAACTGTAGGATTTTGCTTTTCTAATGTTAAAGTATGTAGGTGTCACCTCTCAAAAGCTGGGTAAACTTAAAAACATAAAAACGATTGTAATGTTACGAAAATCGATAAATCTAAAAAAAGCTTCACTTTGTTCCTATTATTTTATACTGACCATAAGTTCAAATTTAGTTCCCCTAAAGTTCTACATAGAAGCTACCCGGAACAAACTTCACTTTTTTATCTGTCTGTTTTTTTCTGTTATTACCGATTTTAGCGTTCTGTTTTAAATTGTACTATTTCGAAAGAAACCGCGATGTTGACTATTAATTTTATAGATTTTACAAACTACATCTAGTATGGCACTTTACATCACTTACTTCTTCGCCTTTTGATTGAAAGACGTACTTTTTTTTGTTGTGTGTTTTTTCATATCCACGATTGATTCTTAGTCATGGATTTTTCACTAATATTTTTATTCTAACTTTTTAATTTTCCATTCAACTATTCAAGGTACAATTATTGAGGGACAAAATCTACGTTAATTAAATAAACATTTGACTAAAATGAGTAATATATGGATTAAATCTTATAAAAACTACAATAAGGTGAAAATATCGGTGTGAGTTATAAAAAGAAAGTAATCCCCTAATAAGCGCCAACTTGCTGCACGAGAAACTGACGCGTTGAAACACGTTTCTATCAGCATCTCATGTGGGCTCCTAAGAAAACGTTGGTTCACATGGATGTTCTTTTGTTTATTTTCAATTTTTCTCGCTGAGCTTTTATGATCAACCGGCAACTACCTGCTAGAACCGAAAACGTTCGCCCTTACCTTACACAAAACAAAACCCACTTTTTCTTGGAAGTAATGCATTAACAGCACCAATATTTAGATTAAGTTTATTAAATGTTACTGTTAATCAGAAATCATTAAAAAAATACATTTTTCTACAATTATAATTGCCAACTTCATTTAGTAATCGCTGGGTCATTCCTTTTTCAATTTTGAAGAAAGCGAAAATCGAAGTTTAACTTTTATATCTAATTCAAACATCGCTTTCTCTTCAGTTTTTGTCCGAGGGGGCACGTTTAGTGAACGCATATATCTGAGAAAATATATCTAATCGTTTTGATATTATAATTAAGATATAATTTTGACGGAAACTGATAGAATGTTATTAAAAATGTTTGTTTTGTTCCTGTTTAAAAACGAAAAAGCAAATAAGCTATGCATACATCTATCTCTATTTGGAGCTCCAGATTACTATATGTTGTGAATGAAATATTCCTTAAGGAAACGATAACAAATTGTTAACCTAACCTATATCAAAGTTATGCTAAAAAATAAAATGTAATTAAATTATATTACACTTGACGGATGGTGACAGGGAATGTCAAAGAGAAGTATCAGCTCAGTTCTTGAAATATCTCATTTTAGAAAAGTACAGTAGGGTCGGAATTCCATTACAAAAATATATTATTATTATTTTATTATTGTATTATTGTTGTATACCGGGTATCTCAATAAGGGCAACGAGTTACGGAAGTAAAGCTTTTCCTAGGCTTTCAATCATGCAATGAGGCGATTGCGATTGCTTTCCTTACCACCAGATTAAGTTTTTGTCATAATTTCAAAAAAAAGTTAGTGATATGGTTAAAACCGAGTTTATTTATTTTTTATATTTTTTAGGTTTTAGGTTAGGTTTACTCATTAACTAATGGGGTCTAATGAGTTGTTGGATAATAATTAATGCTATTAATTATTGGCTTATCTAAGTAGTAAAATGTCTATACAAGACTTTGCGGTACGGTATGCTTCCTTCGTGTCGTTAGTTGATGTGTGTCAAAGTCTCTTGATTACCGATACAAATAGTTAGTTTAAATTTATCCGGCATAGAAATCTTATTGTGATTGTATGTGTATTTTGAACAGGACGAGTTCTTAGTGATTTGGTGCCTAGAAAAATCGAATAGAATGAATAGCAATAGACTTTAACACTTAATTTTTAATGAGAAATAAAGTGGTAATGCTAAATATTTGAAGATAAAAGTTTTGAAAAAAAGTATTAATGATAAATAACGGAATTTTTATTTCGATTCTCCGTACGATTTGGCATCCCAGAGAGTAAATTAACGTTCTATTTATAAAATTGGGATACTTATACACTAATGAAGAAATGGTCTAGAATTCCGTGCGTGGAGCCTTTTTTGGAGTTATTAAAACTTATTTTTCAAGATGTTTGAACACCTCCAACACCTCCCGAGACACAGAGCACTAAAAGCATCCACCAAGGAAATTTGCATTTGTCTGAGCTTTAAAACAGTACTCAAGTTGACTATCGGAAATATAAGAAATTTTTACAGAAAAACACTTTGTCTTAGCCGGTTTCATAAATATATTTTTTTTAATTTTTTTTCTAATTGGTATGTCGCTGCTCTTAATTGGATAATACCCCGTATGTTGTTGTACACATATTATTTTGTTATATTGTTATGTCGAATTCTATCAAAAACGAAAAGTGCGACGAAATATCCCACTATTGTGCTATCTTTCCATCTTTAAAGACAAGTGAAATTCCAAAAGTGTCAATAATTGGACGGACACCCTCTACAGTTTCCGGCTCGCTCATAAATATTATAATTGCTTTTTCAAATTGGACGCACATTCGCTAAATGTACTCTGAATACAATAAACGAAAACCTATGACAGTACAAGAATAGAGGTAAACAAATTACACAAAAAAGGCTTTGTCGTTTTCGTCAAGGGTTCTTTTAACATTCAAGTACTGTTGGTGCAGGCGATCTCGTTGACTATCATTTTCAGACACTGCGCTCAGATAATCTACGCAGCCGGTTCATATGATTGTCGGTGCGGCGGGCAGCAGAGAACCAATTTAGTATTCGAATTTCTGTTGAATTGTGTGGTTGTGTTTATATTGCCTTACGTCATTTTACACGTGGCCGTGTTGTAAAGGTTTTGTTCCGGATTTCGATTTGTTCCGACTCCGATTGGCAACATTAGCACGCCTAATTTAGACTTGGATAACCTTAATTCGGTATTAAACGGTGAGTAAGGACCGAGTTTAATTCGCTAATCACGTCATGGATATTTTTCACCGACGAGACGCTTGTGAATAATAGAGTAGCAAAAATCGTACCTATTTTAATTAAGTGCATTTCATTTTTAGTTAGGTAGGAGTATTTATTCGCTTTAATACCGATAAAAAAATTTAATCTTTTAAGTCGTTTTTGCAATTCTATTTTTTTTATATTAATATATATATATATATATATATATATATATATATATATATATATATATATATATATATATATATATATATATATATATATATATATATTATATATATATATATATATATATATATATATATATATATATATATATATATATATATATATATATATATATATATATATATATATATATATATATATATATATATATAAATAATATTTTTATATATTTTTATATATTAACCCATCTCCTGACTTGGTCTTTGTCCCTTATCCGACTTTTGTTTTTTTTTTTTAAATCATATTTTACATTAATCAAATTAATTTTAAAACTAAGTTATGATATAAATTATCATTATAATAAAAAAAAATGTCTCATTCTCGTTCCTTTAGGTATAGGGTGGACCGTTTATTTTGGGTCACCACCTTATCTCAGAAACTATGGGGGATGGAGTCAAAAGTTAAATACAAAAGTTAATTGGGGTATTACAAAACTTCAATTTATTTTAATGTGGTATATACAGGATGTTTCATTTTTCGTGGGCGAGTATTAACTTTCTTATTTTAAATGGAACACCTGGTATATTGCTTCATTTTTTTAATTCTATACAAAATTCTAGAAATATTTTGTTTATAAGTCTAAGCGTTTTTGACATTTTTTATTTTTTATGTCAATAATGACGTTTGTAAGAATTAAAATATCTGCCAATTTCTTCATTCGGAAGCGTTTATTGTTTGAGTAAGTTTTGTTGTAGACAAAGCACTCGAATAAAGGATTTCATAAGAAATTTCCATACATATTAATACATTAAAAAAATGTCAAAAAAAATTTTTTTTAATGCCTTATATTTTGACTTTTTGCAATATTCCCTTTTAAACATTTATATATTTATATATTTTTCGACACGTTATTTATTTATTTATTTATTGTTTATAAATTTAATTTTTTCGCTTGCTTGCGCATCATGTTTAACACAGAGGAAAAGATATGTTAGATAGTTACATATCGGCTGGCTCTTAAGGAGACGCCCAAAAAAGAGGATTTACCAATACTTTAGAATATATTGAACTTTGAAGAAAGAAAAATATAGACGTCGTCTTCTTTTGAATGATGAAGAGCAACTTAATATTTTGTTGCATTTTGCAGAGACCCCTGAAGGTTCAACCCGTCTTTAGATCTGGATATCAAAACAACCGATTCGAAAGTTTCTTCAAATAAACAACTGGAAGTTCTATAAATTCTGACCAATGCAGAAATTAGAGCAACAAGATTTCAACATCAAGCTAGATTTTTGCAACAATCTTAGGCGGGGACACTTTTCAGAATATATATTTGTTAATATTATTTGAGCAAATGAGTCCATATTTACAACCTCAGCTAAAAGTTTTAATCAGAAAAATACCCAGTACTGGAGCAACAAGAATAATAAAAAACATATGGAAGTTAGAAGATCAAGTAGAACTGTCAAAGTATGGTGCGCCATTTGGAGTTTCTGAATAATAGGTCCAATCAGAATTTAAATTCCCAAGACTACTTAGAGCTTTTAAATATTATCCATCCTTTTGTTGAAATTGAAGCGCTTGAAAGGAAATAACGAAATTTAATTTGGCAGCAGGATGGCGCTCCTTGTCACAGAAGTCAAGATAATAGCACCTATTTAAATGCACACTATCGAGAAAGGATTGGAGAGAATGGAGTTACGCTTGGCCTCCAAGAAGCCTCGACTTAACTCCCCTAGGGTTTTTCTATGGGGTACACTTACATTAATTTACAAACACAAACCGTTAAGGGATATTTAAATGGGACTGAATCTGTTGAAAATGGCGTTATGTATTTATAAATCCTTTATTCTACTTGTATTGCCCAAAATGGAGGATATATTGAACTACTGTTGCAGTAATTATTATCTTTGTAAATTGTTAATTTTTTTAATCGTTCGTTATTAAAATATTCACCAACAGTATCGCGTATCCTTATTCTTATTCTGTATAAATAATGCATTCATATATTTGGATCTTCATAAGTGCATCGGCAAGATTATGGTCAACTATGAAATGGTAAATCATAGTATCATGGCCACCTTACACTCACTGAACCTATATTTCAACAGCATATTATTTGTGTTTAAAAAATATTTCAAAAAATAAAAATATACAAAATTGCCTTAATGTTTAATGCTAAATATGACAAGATTATAAAAATAGTTTCCATTAAAAAAAAGTTTTTTGGCAGTTTTTTAATTTCATTTTTTTTTAATTTATTTTTCGCTTACCCTGTATATCGAAATTTCTTATGAAATCCGTTATTCGAGTCCTTTGTCTACAACAAAACTTACTCAACAATAAATGGTTCCGAATGAAGAAACTGACAGATATTTTACGTCTTGCAAACGTCATTTTTCGCATAAAAAATTAAAAATGTCACAAACGGTTAGAATTAGGTATAGAAGATTATACACAAAATATGTCTAGAATTTTGTATAGAATTCAAAAATGAAGTAATATACTATGCGTTCCATTTAAAATACGGAAGTTGATATTCGCCCACCAAAAATGAAACACCTTGTATATACAAAATTACAATAAATTAAAGGTTAGTAATATCTCAATTAACTTTTGTATATAACTTTTTGCTCCATCGCCTATAGTTTCGGAAATATGGGCGTATCCCAAGATAAACGACCCATCCTATACAATATATAAAGACGGTCTGCTGTTTTCGGTTCAAACGTACGTAGAGTTCACTGAATATAAAACTTTCGTATAACCGAATATCTAGGAAAATTTGATTTCGTTTGATTGCGTGCATGCGGTCAGCAACCTTAAAGAACAATTATAATTAGGTAATTTTTAATTCAATTTTCCCAATTTGCACATCTAAGTAGGTAATTAATTAGAATCGCTACTTAAAATGTGCCCTCCCAATTTACTCACAGAAGTAGAAGTAGAACTTACTGTTCGCTTTTCTTATGGTAGTAAAAAAAGAACGATTGATTTACATAACTAACTCGTTAACTAGCGACATTAAAGTTCGCATTAAACAAGATACCTAATGTGTATTAATATTAATAAACCAATATTTAAGTGAAATTGTCTATTCAGTAGAAAGTTGCGATGCTAGGAAAACTCGTAAAAGTTTTACGGTAAATTGTCGTCCCCGCTTTCTACAATGATGAACATACTTGGTTGTAAATAGTTTTTATTTAAAAAAACAGCCCGCTATTTTGCACATCTAATAGCTTGTTGGAACATACCTCATTTTCCGTATACATAAATTATAAAGCCCAGTGCAAAAATTGCAAACAAATATTTAATTTTTTCCGAGATGTTTTCGAAAAGCGAAAAGCGTGTTTTCAGAAAAGAAGGAAGTCGGAATGCTAAGCATATATTGGTTTGTGGCCCAGACCAGGTTTAAAGCATCCACTTTCTTCTTATACGTCACAAACCAACCCCATACTTAGCAAAACAACAAACAATGGTTTTATTTATAGCGTTACCGAATACGAATAATGAATTTACTTTTACAATGTGTTATACTCCGTCCAAGGTCGCAGATATTTCGTGCCGTGTATAGAACTAGCAAACTTATTGGTTAGTACATTTTGCTTGACGTAAAAACGCCATAACAGAACCGTATAATAGCGTGACAAATAAAAGAGATCCAGATATAGCTGCAAAAGCATCGTCGTATGGTGAATGATGGTGCGATGTTGTTATCACAACGGAAGTAAAAAAAAATTAAAAATCAATCAATTAAAATTCACAAAAACTAAAAAACAGTTTCTAAAATATTATTACATTACATTGTGTTAGATATTATCCATATCCGTGGAAACTGGAGCCAGTAATTGTTCCACAACCCCATTACAAACAGTGGAGAATGAATTGGTAGAAGTGGAAGAAAAGTAAAATAAAGCAATAAAGCACGATATATAAGATTTTGTTTTAATAGAAATTAACTATTATTTTTCGACAACCAAATCATTATAATATTTGTACCATAAAATAAGCTTCGTATCGGTTATATTTGGTCTTATATTCACAGTCAGCTGTTTTTCCAAAAAAATCGTTGCTGTTGATTTTATCCCGGTTGTCCCCGTGCAACAAGGTACACCATTAGGAAAATTAGCAGTAAAAGAAATTTGAAAACAAAAATTATTAAGTAAAGAAAATGCTCGAAATTATTTTTGAGGTTCTGAAGTGGCTTACATTTCCACCAGGTGGCGTTTTCTGAAAATCGCAAAATAATTAATTACATGGATGTGACTTTTTTTACATGAATATAAAATACCTCGAGGTCGCTGTCTTCTGTTGCAGCAGGGGGCATCACATTTTGAAATTCATCGTCAATATAGTTTTCGAGATTTCATTATGTTATATTTATTTCGGTGTCACATCAATCTATAGATAAACTAAAATAGTCTTCTGGATCTCATTAAATCGATCTAGAATTGTCATCAGCAATTTTCTGAAAACCAACTTTTTTAAAAGAATTTTGTAATAGTAATAGTCTCCAAAACATTTATGGACTTTGACAAAATGTTCTTAAATATCAACCAACCAACGATAATAGAATTTTAAGTTTTGGATTGGTGTAGTGGGTTAGTTGATCCCCACACTTTGTAATTTCAAAGTTCCTCGGTTTAATTTTTTTTTTGTTCAGTATTGTTTCCTGACTCCCACTGTGGATGAACCTTGATGGTATTTTTAACAAATTCTGCTTGAATTTTTGAGATATTATTTTTTTTCAGCAAGCTTTGCTGCACAATAAAAATAAATCACCATAGTAAAGGTAAAAAAGGCTATAGAGCGAATTGCCTGGCCGCAGAGTGCAGTTTTGCCAATATACTACGTATTTGTGTTATGTCGTTCAGTGCGCTATCCCATCCTCAGAGGCAGGCGTCCGGTTAAGGGAGGTTCCAGGCTTTTTCAATCAAAAAAATATGTTTGTGTCCTGTTATTTAAACATCCTGTTATAAGAATGATTTTGACATTTAAAAAAATTTGCAAAAGTTTGGTTTCAGAAAATTTGTCCGCCTGAGGAAGTGTGCTTAATAGAGGTGTCCACAAGGAAAGGTTACACTTTATCTCATTATAGAAGCTAGTGGAAATAGCATATAGGCATAACGTTTTAAATTAAGTCAGATAACAGTGCTAGTTTAGTAAGTGTGTTCGCTAGACTTTAAGAATATTTAGTAGACAGTTGACAGTCGTAAGCGTTTATAAATATAACGTTCAATAGCAGTCTGCGCAATTTTACTTAATTAAAATATCATACCACTATTTTGTTTTAACAAATGTAATTTCATAAGGCCGAGCTGTTAATGTACTTTTAATATTGCGAATGTATGGCTATAGTGCATGTAAATTTAAGCATTCACCTTGATCGTGAAGTGCAATACCCAGTTAATAATAAAACGATTTAATGAATAAATTGAAAATTAAATATTGTACTTATAGGACAAGAGTTGTCGACTACTTGTCGTTTGAAAATTTTCACTTCGTTAAAGTCCACGAAAAATTTATGTTATTATTATAAATGGTAAAATACTAATAATAATAAATAAGTTGATTTTAAATCACGCATAACAAGCAGCCGGATTTGTTAAACATAGAAATATAAAAAATGAACGAGTATTTGTAAAACAACTTAGGTCTAAATATCATCAGAACAGATTTTTTAGTTTTTTTTAATACATAATAACTGGTTATTCCTGGCGGTACAGGTCACAACTTGGCAACAAGAACAGTAGTAGGCATATAAGTGCAGGTACAGTCAGGTTAATAGTGCTAGAATTAAAACACTTGTAGTTATGATAAAGACACAAACTGTAATTGAAAATAAGAGGAATAAAAAAAGAAAGTTCGACAGACTACTGTAATATTATTTCAAATCTTCGAATCGAACATCCCGACGTTTCCAAAATCATCCTGTTGGCTTCTTAATTAAATTAAATAAAACTAAAGAAATACGGCACTCTAAATACTTCAAACGTAGAGGCAGATATATTAACATAAACACACCAATCAATTCGATAACTGAGTATCTCAGCAGAGCATGCAGAAAATAAAATTCTCGGAAACTTTATGATCAGGATTTATACTTAAAAGAAACTTTTTTTGAATTGGGTTTAACCGACTATTCATGCAAAAACTTGGTTATAGATGAGAGAAGTTTATATATGAAACTCTTTTGGAAATAATAAAAAAATCATCATTATCCTGCCATCTAAATAAGGGAAAGAGACGAATCAGTACCCATGGCTTACAGCATTTTACACCAAATGGCCTCATGTGCTTACCCCCCGATACTGATACTATTGGTACTCATTGTGGTATTGATACTTACCTCCTTTTTTACGTAAATGTTTGTTTGGTTCGAATATCAAAAAGGATGCGATAGTCTAATTAATACGTTTTTATCGATTTCCTATTAGTTTTCTTTTGATCTACATTACTGGGCGAAATTTAGTTTATCCCTAGTTGCTTAAAATTAGAAAAAAATTGGCACAGAGGTAAATCTCCTTACAATAAGGAGTAAATACTTATGAACATTTACCTCTGTCAAATTTCATGTAATTATGGAAGATTCCAAAAATTGTTTGCCAATTTAAAAATAATGGCTAAGTTAAGGGAGAAGATTATTTTTGCGTAATTCAAATTTGATTTTTTAAAATTTTTAAACATTACGCAAAGCCCATAGTTTCTTTCAATAGTTTACTACACAATAAATTACTACAGCCTGTATAACTAGCCATAATAGTGGTAATAGATATTTAGATTAATATTCCTTGTATAATTACAGTTCAATTATGACTTACCTAATGATAGGCAAATGTCAACAAATTCATTAATGTGCGCAAGTCTTTGTCATTTCACCTTGTTTTATAGATTGCGGATGTTGTCCCATAAAACTAAGTAGTGTGCCCCTTAGCTTTTATCTTAACGTTATCTTCTTTACACTATTATTTGTCAGCAACGTACATATAAGGGTAAACGGTTAATTATTGTTGTGGCTTATCCATTACAGGCCGCGCCTACGGTTTGCTAATTACATCTCACTGACCACTTTGTATCGCGGAAATCAGATACGTTTATATTTATTTTTGCATTCGTTTTGCAAAAATCGCATGATAAGTTGATTGCGTGAAATTATGCATACTTAAACTAGATCATCTATTTCATTTTTTACCGATTTTTTTTTTCACCGATTTGTTATTAAGCATATGCAGATGTTTGTCTTGGTCATTGATATACATACAAAGCTTAGTTTTAAGAAACTTATTACTGACAGTCCGTACGACAAATGTAATTACTTTTATTGTTTATTAGTCATTTTAACTGCGCAAATTGAATATATTAACATTTACATTTTTTCAATTCCAAGGTGTTATTGCTTCCCGTTGGAATCTTGTTTTATTTAAACTCATAAATTATGTAATAATAGATCGTCACGCAAAAACATTGACATTTGGTGCCGACTTTGATACCTTTTAAAGTGGATTTTCCTAGATATCGCTAGAACTTATCCTTTTTTTGTTTCTGATTTTATTTATTTAAAATTATATATAATAATAATAATAAGGATTTGTTGATATATTTTTTTAAATACTAGCTAGCAAGGTCCCAGAAATGAATAGTCGTGGAGAGAGAGCCAAATTAAAACTATGACCCCTCCGCACAAACTAGTGATACAAATGTGGAACTAAGTAACCTTTTGAACTTTTTGTAGACTAAGACTAAAACCAAAACTGCAGTATACTCCCAGGCTGTTATTCCCATACTATGCTGTTGCGAAACCTGGATGTCACGCAGACACCTAAAAGCTTTAGAAAGTACGAAGAACAAAAAACAATCGTTTGTTCTTCTTGTTGACTCATATTTTTGTAAGCACATCAGAGGAAAATTCTGTTTATCTAGAGTTTTGGAATGTACGGGATATTCTATTTCTACGTCCTTCTACGATATAATATATTCTGCAATTTTTAAATGTTAAGTTTTTTTTTATGATCTTCATAACTATTGCCAATAGGGAACTTGAACAAAATATTTAAAAAACCACAGTTCACAAAGAAAATAATTTCGTAGTTAGTTCTGTGTAACAAATATATGCAATTAACAATGGTAAAATTTAAATACTATTTGAAACTCGCTGGCATTGGCTTTGACCGGTTGTGACATCAATTTGCTCGTAAGAGTACGGGCCAACCGGACGGTAGCATAGAGAACCCCTTAGAGAACGGAAACGCGTTCGTCTTGGTGGTTTTAATTTTGATCCTGTCCCTTACTTTTGTTATCTTGAGTTTAATATAAAAAAAAAGTTTTCAAAATGACAGAAGCCGATTTTTTAAAAGGTCAATCTGATAAGTTACTTTTAGTGGATATGTTCATGGTGACATCTTACATACAAAACACCGAAAGGGCTGAGGTTCGCGGTGTTAAAGCTAAAACCTATGTTCATAGAAAATTTACCCACTAGTCTTAAACCAATATAATAAAATGATCAGCTTAAAGTTTTCTAGTTTTTAAAATTCAAATGGCATATCAAATAAAATATAAATTATTCAACAAATAAAAAACAAAAAGGATTTTTCTGTTAACTAGTGAAAAGCTAAATACTGATTTTAAAGTACATTGATATCTTAGTGTTTCTTTATTTTATATAGATCAGGAACCATTCCTATAGCGACTGCAATAGGATACGTGCAAGTTCCAGGAGTTAAAAAATATTTTCACGGTTTTTACACGAATAAAAAGTTTATCTGGAGTTCTACTAATTGTATGCAAACACGATGGCATGATTTGTATTATTGAACTGAGGTGGCTTTTACTTGATGAAATGTGATAAAGACATTTGATAAAGACACGGTGTTGTCGAAACAATTGTCATGTAATAATATATAATTTCGTGAAAATCTGAACTTTTAGTTCTTATTTAATTTGTATTATTGTTTTTGTGTTGCTTACATTATTATCATGTAAAGCACACTAAGCACAAATACAAACTGGCGTAGATTAAATCCAAAAAGACCTTTACACGAGCCAAAAATAATCGTAAATAATATAATTCTTGGCCTATAACCTGAGAATAAGATTATGACATGTCGCCATAACGATCGAAAAGCGGTATGACGTCACGATCATTCCCGCGCGTTTAGTGTCGTTTAAATGGAACAGGCAGGTATCACAACTTGAGTTATTTATTGCAACTAATAGTGAACAAAGAATACATACAAAAAAGGTGAATAAGAACTAATGTTTTGTTATTTGTTTTTTTTTCGGTGTTGTCTTTTCTTGATTCCTTGAAAGTTAGAATTACGTATAAATTGATTTGCGATGAAATTATATGAAAATAAACCAAATCAAAAATAATACAAAATTCGTCGCTCTCTGGTCTATTCGGTACTATAATAAAGTCATTTAATAAAAATTAGATAAACATTTCCTGCTACGCGGTTGCGGGTTTCAGACGTTAACCTAACAGTTTCATCGGCGTGAGAAATTATAACAACCAACAGTTTAAGTTCTTTTTATTATGTTGGAAGCGTATGTGCCGACTGGTCGTACGAACGAGACTTGCATGGAAAAAGCTGAATTGGCGTTCTCACGCGATCTCGTTTCTTGGTTAATAACTACGAATATTTTATTAGACCATTTATTAAGAGAATTGACCAATGAAAGAATGCTAAAACGATTTAGTAATTTTGCGTAAAATTTATTGTTTCATTTTGTTACCGTTGTAATTTCACTTAATTGCTTGCCGAAAAATTGCAGATATATTTGTAAATTCACGAAAAAAAATTCTGCTCGCCACTCATCAGATTACTTTGAAGTTATCTTGTCCAATCAAACTAAAACTTTGTTATAGTGTTTGGGTCTCTCAATTTTACCCACCAATTTTTTTTCTGTCGTTTTATGTCGTTCTAAAAATCCAGTTTGTTTTTCGACTGCTGAAATTGAATGAGGTTAAATATTTTGACATAATTTTAATATGTTTTATGTCACTTCCCATTTTCTAAAAATTCGTCCAGAAATACGCTCTAGATACAGTCCATACCTTCAGGTGTATTGTAGACAAATCAGCAGTAAGTACGATATTTTTTCGGTTGTATTGAGTATGTAAGTTATAATATGATATTGTTTCCGTTTTATTCATTTGAAATTTGAAAAATTGAAATAAATATATTCACGTACGATTCAATTCCATCACGAAAACTGCATATTAAGATTTCCATCATAAAATAGTGCGGACAAGATCAAAAATTATAGTCTGTTCGTTGACCGTTGGTAATTGTCAGGTTGCCGATGATAATAATAATATGAGGTTACCACAGTTCGGTTCGCGGCTTGGTACATTTTGTCCCACGCTTCGAGGTACCGTTAGATAACGTTCGAAACGTATTCAAAGGTGCACGCAATATTTCGCTGCCAGTTATTACTGACAACGCAAACACCTTTCCAATCAGTTGCATAATAATTTTTGGTCTCTTTGCTATGATTCCAATCAATCTAACATTTAAGCTTTTCCCATTTTAATCTACTATACTTTCGAGTTACCTCTATATTGTTTATCCAGTCGTCGGGTGCTAAATACTACGACTACGTTTACTAACAATTTCAGTTCGATTTAGACTCTTTTTCTTCACACGGTATTGCTAATAAAATGTAAAAAATACAATATTAAAAAAAATCGTCTAATTTCGTCTTTTATTTATTCCCTTTTCGCTTGGCGACAAACTAAGCCGCCAACACAATTAGTCAATACAGTTAGTATTAGTAAACTTTCAAAGATAAAACCAATATCAAAATATGCGGAAACAAACACTTTATGCAAGAGTTTGGTTCAAACAATCAGCTTCTTTAATTACTTTGTTCTAAAGCGCAAAAACCTATTTCCAATGGTAAAGACTTCACAACAAATCAACATAGTAATAACGCAAGCAAGAATAATATAGAAGCAAGGCCGTTGCCTTTCATTTCATAGATCTTCGACGATCATTAAAACCAATAACAAAATAAACGAACGACCTCAAACGACCAGCTGTTTACTTTCCAAGGCACTCTGGTCGCACGTACAGACTCCGGGTACATCAATACTACTTTTCTTGAGGCATAACGGTTCTATCGCATCGTACTGGGTTAATCTTCGAAAAAATACCGAGTTCAATATATCGGAAATGATTTGCTAACCGCTTCTAAAGACTTTATTGCGGTTTTGCCGGCTGTGATGATTGCATCTAATCGTTTGATTATACGAGCCCTAACAACTAAATGTTCGGACGATGTAAAAAATGATAAAAAAGACATTTTTATATCTATTAAATTTTTTTTCTTTGCTTTGTCGATTGAATAATCAATTTACGCACATTACGATAGCACAGAAAATGCTATCGTAATGAATTATTTTTTATTTCGCATGAATTAGATAGCAAAATAACGGAAATATACCAAATGTGCTGACAAATAAATATTCGGACGTAGTGTGCTTAGATAAATGAGATTTCAGTTCAGGTTGTATCTTTCAAGTTTGTGTAATAGTTAATAAGAAAATGACGCGTGGAATTGCAACAAACAAAAAAGTGCGAGAAATTATCATATCTCAGTACTGCAGAGGTAAATCAATGCAAAAACTTTCAAATGACTTGAGTATTGCAAAATTAACAGCCGGGGATATTATAAAAAAGTATGGAGAGACAGCTAGTGTTAGCGTTCGTGGTAAAAGTTCAGGCCGACCCCGTAAAATCACTGAAAGAGATCGTCGTATTCTGGTCAACATTTGTAAAACTAGCAAACGAAGCGTCTTACGACAAATTCAAGCCCAACGGAATCACGAGGCAAACTTAAATGTCTCCAGGGAATGGATGCATAAGTCTGGTTTGAGTTTTTATAAGGTATGTTTACAATTTTTCCTGTTTCAATATAAAAATTATTAATATTCTATAATCTACTTTTGTTAAAGGCAAAGGAAAAACCATTCTTAACGTCTATTCAGAAGAAAAAACGTTTGGATGAGCAAAATCTAAAATATCCTGGACAACGGAAACGTAGAGTAACGTTATCTTCAGCGACGAATCAAAATTTGATGTGTGTGTAAGCGATTTTCAAAAAAAGATTATTCGTACAAAATCAGAAGCCTTTCACAAAGATTGTAAAGTACGGTAAAATTTCCCCAGGGTGTTATGATATGGGGGTGTATGAGTGGTAAAGGGGTTGGCAACTATAAGTTCATTGATGGTACTGTAAATGCAGAAAAATACCAACAAATTTTATCAAGAAGTTTGATTCCATCAATAGAACGAACTTTTGGAAATGAAAATTCTATAATTCAACAAGACGGTGCGTCCTGCCATATTGCGAAAACAACAAAAAAGTGGTTTGGGGACCATATTATGAAAGTTTTATCGTGGCCATCAAGTAGCCCCGACTTGAATATTATTGAAACTTTATGGCATCGGATGAAAAAGACTTTGCGTAACAATCCTCAGCGTACAGTTCCAGCATTAAAGGCAAAAATCACCGAAATTTGGAACACTTTCACCCCCGAAAATTGCAAGACTTTGGTAGATTCCATGCCAAAACGCATAAAAGCTGTTATTGCCGCGAAGGGTGATGTTACTTCTTATTAGTGTTCGATTTAAAGTAAAAGATTTAAATGCGTCCAAATATTTATTTGTCAGCAAATTCGGTATGTTTTTGATATTTTTTTATGTAATTTATGTGAAATAAAAAAATAATTCATTACGATAGCACTTTTTGGTATAAAAATAAGTGCGTGATTTCATTTTTCAAATTGAAATTTGTTTTTTTAGCTCTTTTATTAAAAAAAAATGTAATGAATTATGTTGAATTTTTAAAGAAATTTGCAATTTTTAACTCGTCAATTAGGACAACACGACTATACTTTGTTTTTCACTTTCTCACGCATGAATCACTTATTGTCCGCATTAGGAGAGAATAATTAATAACCGTTATCTGAGTCCTGTATGTCTGCGCATGCTGAAAACATATAGTGCCATTTAAAGTGCAGATTAATGCACATTAGTCACTGATGTTATTTTGATGTTTATCAGTTCTGACGATCATATCACACGTCAGTGAGTGAATGTATGTATTCATTCTATTTTGCAAAAATGCTCCCAAATATTAATGGTCCCATAAAAAATGTAGTACTGTGAACACACACACACACGAATTTTTACTCGTAAAATGTTTTCAAAATTGTTTTACGTAAAAAAAAGGATAACTACGGTGCACTCAAGGATCCTGATTATCGCTATCATCTTACAGTAAAAGTTATACCTTTCTAAAAGCTAAAAAAAAGTTATCCATCCTTTCTTGAGAGAAACGTTGCACAGTGTTTGTTTTTATGTGATATTTTCGTTCACGAGGCTACTTCTTACTAAAATTATCACTGAAATAAGCAGAAAAAATTATAGATAGAATTAGGTGGTATTTTTTTTATTACTCATATACACAAAAAAAAATTACGTGTATATCTTATTTTAGTAAAAACTATGATGACAATAAAACCAGTAAAAGATACTGCAAATATACGCCATCCCTCGCCAGCTTTCTTTCAACATGTGTGGTTGCGATCAGCGATTTGTGTTCAACAAAAAATTTATAAATATATGTAGAAGTTTTACCTGAGGCCAAACAAAGAGGTCCTCTTTTTCATATCTCATAAGTTTTATGTCATATTCCGGACCACATTTTTCTCATATTTGTGCAACATAATATTTTATGATTTTTGTCGTAGCAAACTTGGCCAGTATAAAACTCTCATCGGTGACCATTTGTTTTCTACTATTTTGTTTAGTGTTCTGTTATACCCGATTTTTCTCCTATTTCAAAATCATTCACATTTTATGCTTTTCCCGGGTTCTCCATTAACTTTCTTGTTTTCTGTTCTTTACTAAAAATGAAAGACAGTGTCATTAACATCATTGTCGTAATTCATAGGATTGGTGGAAGATGGTAGTTTGGTAATTTAGTAATCAGCGTCTCGCTACTTAATGACCATATTCCATAACCTTGAATCCGCTCACACAGTTTTCCGTGTCAGTTTCTTCAACAGTGCAGGAAATATATCGTTTTGTAAACCAACTTTTGCGGAGGACCCTTTAAAACTGCTGAGATGGTGCTCTACATTTTCTTTAATGCCGCAGCTAGGTGTAAAATTTGATCCGGCCCGCGATGCGTTTTGAAAGACCCAATTAATCATAATTACTATTTCATATCCCAGATCTATTATTAAAAATTATGGATACAACATGTCAAACGTTGCCCGTTGATTAAAGTCGTGGATTTTAAGGTCCTGTATGCCCTGTATGCCCAATTTCCTATTGGCATAAGTCTCTAAGAAAGAAAGCGAGATTTCGTTTACAATTGAGGAAAGTTGCTGTAAAATATGGGTTCTGATCCAGGCATTCTAACCAAAGAAGTGTTGGAGAACTTCAAAAAAGCGTTTGTGGCGGACAACAAAAATATATTAATCCAAAATGTTTGCTCTCGAGTGGACCCCTTTGAGGCTTGCCTGTCTAGGAAACGAATCGAAGAAACGCAGCATGTATTCAATATTAAAATAGAATCTGAGGGTAAACCAGTTACAAACCAGAAGAGTTCAGGTCGTTGTTGTGTATTTGCTGCACTTAACGTCATCTGTTTGAAAGTGATTAAACATTTTAACCTGGAGGATTTAGAATTCTCACAGGGCTACTTATTTTTTTGCTACAAAATAGAGCGTTGCAATTACTTTCTTAATTATATTGTTGAACCAGTAGATGGACGTCTTGCTTCATTTTTATTAAATGATCCAACCACTGATGGAGGTTAATGGGACATGTTAGTTAGTTTGGTGAACAAGCATGGTTTGATGCCAAAAAAGAATTTTCGAGAATCTCACAGGATGAATCAAACAAAGAGTAAGTTGAGGGAATACGCTAAACATATTAGAGACCTTATGGAGAAGGGCGCCAGTGATGCAGACCTCCAAAGTCTGATCCAAGAGCAAATGGCCAACGTCTACCGAATTGTCGGCATCTTTTACTACGACAAGAGCAAAGCGTTTCACAATATCGGCCCCATTACTCCCAAGGAGTTCTACGATGTTCATATCAAACCGCTGTTTAATGTTGACGACGAGGTCTGTCTCGTAACTGACCCGAGACCTACCAGTCAGTACGAGAGGGCTTACACCCTCGAGTGTCTAGGCAACGTGGTGGGGGGTCGTAGGTGCATATACAACAACCAGCCGGTGGGGACGCTTTTGGAGTTGGCGGCGAAAAGTAACGTGGAAGGGGTGGCGGTGTGGTTCGGGTGCGAGGTGAGCAAGAGATTCGCCGGGAAATTGGGCATACAGGACCTTAAAAACTCAACTACCTTCTCAGAGAAATGGTTGGCTAAATTGTTTCCGATTAACAATTTAGGTCCTGACTGGTGTTTTACATAATCCAGGAAAATACTTTGGAACCAATCGACAAAAGCGACAGAGTTAAATCAACTATGAAAGTGCCACTCTACCTGCATTTATCTGAACCACCAAGAGCTCCACATATAAGGGGGAAGTAATTCCGTTTTTGCGTTTCCACAAAACATTAGTGATACATTATTTGATTTGGAATGAGGAGGCATAACCCGTTTTGGGACTTTGCTTCTCTTTTAAAGAAATGCTTTGTTAAACCAGACTCGCCGTTTAAGATAGCCTCGACGAAATTGTAACTATTTTCGGGAGAAACGTCTTCTGGTGACTTCTCTCAAGATTATCGAAATAGGTGTCTCTGCATAAAAAAGCGCTATTCGGTTTTATATTTTGCTTTTTTCTAAATCATATTGGATTTTTAGGTCTTTCAAAGAAACTTCTTATTCAATCTTTGCCAGACAAATAGTTTTTAAAGCTTGTAAATTTTACCCATTCTTTTGTGTGGCATAACTTACCATAATAGACTATTTCATTTTTCGTTAGAATTATCCTCTGATTTATTTTATTTTAATGTTTGATAAATTATCTAGGATTCTTTTGTTCAGTTTTGATTATAGCATTTATTTACCTGATTGACAAATTATGCAGATGTTATTAAAATCTTCCATATACGAGGTGTGTTCAAAAAGTAAGGTGACTTTTAAATTTTATCAAAAAGTATTTATTTATTCATTAACAATAATGTTGTCCCCTTTAAAGTAATCCACGTATAGCATTGAATTCTTCCAGCGATTTTTTCTTTGTCTCGATGAGTGAGCATTATCGCGATGCAAAATCCATGAATAGTTTTCCAATTATAATTCCGGGCGTTTTCTTGGTATTGCTTGTCGCAAACGGCCCATAACTTCAATTATTGACCGTACGACCTTGTTTTAAGAACTCTTGATGTACTTGATTCTTCCATTGGGACGAATTGGCTTTGGTTTCGACGTCATAACCATATACCTATGATTCGTCACCAGTTACAATCTTTTTGAGCATATCAGAATCATCATTAACATCGTTTGATAGCTCTCGAGCGATGCTCCTGCAGTTTCCGAACAAATTTTGCTGCTATACGCTTCAGCCCCTTCTCTAATAGTGATTCTACGATTTTTCACACATTTCGTCATCGGCGTGTTCTTGGCCATCTTGGAACAGCTTGTACTACTTATAAACATTTTTTTGCTCAAAGTAGATTGACCATATGTCGTCAAAATTTCTAGCGTTTTGTAGTACTGTATTCCATTTTTTACACAAAATTTTATTCAAATTCTTTGTGCCCTTTTTTTTTGACAGCAAAAAATCGCCGAGCGCACAAAGCACCTCACAAAAAAAAGTAACCGTGTAAACTGGCCGAAACTGCATATGTTAGGGTGTACCAACAAAACAAAAAAAACCAAGGTCGAATGTCCGCAACCCACCCAATTACAAGAGTCACCTCACTTTTTGAACACACCTCGTACATCATACGATGATAAAATTTTTATTTTTTTGCAAAGACACGTTAAAATTTTAAACGTGGAGTTTACTGTTATGCCAAAAATACAGTTTAACTCATTATTTTGAGTACAAGAGATTTTGTGATTTTTTTTATCAAATAAAAAGCGCCAAAGTCAGCTCTAATTAGCTAATTTATATAATAATAGTTTCGATGCGAAATTATGTCAACGGGTTTGTTCTACTAAATCTCTAAATCTGAAAAACGTAACTGGTCCAGATTTCAATTTTTATTGGATCGAAATTCACTCTAGTGTGAAAACTCTAGAGAAACGTCTAATTAGATAGAAGTAACTAGCGGTTTTGTATGGATGTTATAAAACAATGAAATCGCGTTCGCGTTTATATTACCTTATTAAGATACCATACATAACATACTTGATCACTAACAGTTGTTATTAAAAGCGTAATCGCTTTATAAGCATCAATAAACACCAGCGTAATATAAATGCAATTACACTACACGGTACCATATACCAAACAATAACGCTATAAACAACTGGGTCAGTGGTACTTTGCGGTTGGCGATCAAAATAGTCGGAATAAAAAAAGTCTACCATTTGATTGCCATCATGCTGCTACACTTGAGCGAATTGGAACGCTTCTTTTAATGTGCAATCGATAATAACTGCTCCCGCCGAGAATTTTTTGTTATCGGCCCGGAACATTTCACGATTGTCGTTCAATTTTGCTTTATGGATTTGCAGTGTGAAACTAGCTTTTTTAAATGTGAAAAAAGCGTAGGATTAGGTAATTTTTTTTACAATAATGGACTAACTTTTACTAAAATCAATTGGCGGTATCCTCGTTTTGACTTATTTAATAAATAAAAGTAATTTTGCACTTTCAAAATAGAGTCTAAAATTTAAAGTTTTTTTTTACAATAAATTTTACTGTCATTAATTAGCGATCCTCCGTTGAGCTTGGATGCAAAATATCGGTTATCTTTGCACTTTGACAAAGGAATCTATAATTTCAAAATGGTTTGATTAAAATTTGTTTTAATTTAAAATACGTTTCGAGATATTGCGGTCATAAAACATTTTATTTTTGTTTTTGTATTTATTATAGCGGGATTCGGGGAACGAATTTGACGAATCCATAAGGTGTAAGACAAGGGCATGTGCTTTCGCATTTCTTTTTCTTCAGCTTACTTAACTACCCACACATAACGTGATTTTTATTTTAATAAGTGGCTTTACAATATTTTTCATATATTGACAATTACTCGGTGATAACAGGTTGATACAGTGGAAACTCCTCTAATCCAAGTTGTTTTATAGGGACTTTTAATGTTTCGTTGTTTACGGACTTTATTTAAGAATATGTTTTTACACGATTATGGTATTTATTCAATCACTTACGTAGAGAGTTTCTCATAAGGATATTTCTCTGTATTTTTTTTAAAGAACCGTAAACGTCCCAGTTGCGTGCAGCCTGATGATAAAACTTCGAAGTCTCATTTGTTAAAAGCACAAATTTATGAATCTACGAAGCTTTTTAGCCTTTAGTACCATGTTATTTACATTGTAAAGAGAATGTCGAAATTTTCAGAGTATAGCGATGCGAACATAAAAGGTGATGCAAGCCTGATGAAAATCTCTACCCATTAAGTACTCTCTGTCTACCTGTTCTGTGATTATTTTGTATTGCAAAAGCGTTGTTGTAGGATTGTTAATAAATTTCTAAATACCAGACGTTGATGCCAGGGATATTTACTGTGTGCTCGTGAGTACATCTGGTACATTATTATGCATAAAAAGTTAAGGGGTCATTGCATTTTTATCCAGCACACACAGCAGCCCAATTATATTGCCGTTTCTTTAAAAAAATGGAGATACGGTGTCACAATCAATGATGATGGCTATGGTTATATAATTTTATGATTTATAATTAATTCATGATAATGATAATATATATGTGTAATATTTTGAAACTGAAATGAGGATCCAGTGAACCGCCATTATAAAGGGCTTTTTTAATTCTGTATTACACCGGGTACTTAGTTTTTAAAAATCGATGCACTCAATTATAAAATTATCAATGCATTGTCGATAATACATTTAATTTTTCTTAAGAACTTACCGTCTATAATTTTATTTTAATTTTAATTTTATTTTTTTTGTGACATTTTAAGTGGAAATCTTATTCAAGTTTTCCAGAGAACTACTTACTGGTATTTTTGGTACACCTCGTATCTTTCGTAGCTCTGGATTTTTTCACTTGGACTGTACATAATCTTTATGGTTTCAATGGTCACTAAATCCAACTCTGTTTTATCATTGGTTCTCATACATCTTAACTGATTTGTTCTTTTTCACTTTTCACTTAATTTTACTTTTTTCACATGAAGTAATTTTTCATAAAAATCATTTTCTTTTGATAGCATCGCCGGTTTCGACGTCCAGTAGTGCACGAATTTGTGCGAGGATATTATGATAAATAGTGTAACTCCAATTTATATTGAGTCTGTTTTCGGGCACTTTACATCTTTCATTGAACTCATCACAAGTATTAAGCTTGTCCGACCTTATCTCTCACACTTCGTTGATTCTTCAGTATTACAAATGCCTAGACTCTGTAAAGGAATAAAATATATCTTTGCGGGAATTTTTCGGGAATTCCGGAATGTCGACTATATTTTTTGTTATTTTTATAATTCTAAATTTATTTACTGACTGCCTTTTATTCAACGAAAAGTTAATATTCATGCTACAAACAATTAAAACAAATCTTGCGTGTTTTGCGCATTTTGTTTGTAATTTATTAATTTTTTTTCAATTTATTTTACCGATATTTCTATTTATCTAACAGTGTATGTAGTATGTATATGTGAAAAAGCAGTTCATTATAATTTTCTTTGTTTAATTATCCCTTCTCTCTACCATCTAGGTCTTGCTGTCTATATTACAGTTATCATATATTTTTGTGATGACTTGTTTCAGGTATCATCAAGTAGTAAAGATGGGGGAGCGAAAAGGTATGAAGGGTCTGGAACTGTGGTGCAAGAAAATGACAGAAGGGTATCCAGGAGTCAAGATCGAGAATATGACCACATCTTGGCGAGATGGCCTCGCTTTTTGCGCCATAATTCACCACTTTAGGCCAGATTTGATGTGAGTACTCTACTAGAACTACAAATTCCTTGTTTTTATAAGTTGCTGCAAATGATGACTAAATTTCCACAAATTTGGTATACGTTCAAGGCACGAGCGAGCACACACTTTTAAAAAAATATGCAATGTCAAGCGGGGTGCAAAGCACATTTTTCCTTTCTCACTGAATTTGAGTGCACTGCGATTAATACGAAAAGAAAGGTGGTTATTTGTGTACTTGGAATCCATAGCACTTATAATTTTTTTAAAAAACTGACATTTCAGAATATATCCGGCAAGTATTATTTTCTTTTTTGCTAGATCTATTTTAATAACGGGATTAAAAAATATAAATGTGGACTTTAATTTTTTTACTTCATTTTTTGGATGTGAAAACGAACAAGTCATATTTGTATTTGGGACTGTTTTTTAAAAGATTATTCAGTTCCTCGAAAACTGCAAAAAGTAGGCAGATATAAAGAAATATGGTCTTCTTTAAACAAATTATAAATAGGATTACATCAAATAGCGCAGCCCTACACCGCACATTTTTTTATCATTAAATGTCGGTTGATTAACGTTTAATCGTTGCGGTTACCTATTAATAAATCAGAATTATTCTAATAAAGAATATCGAGATCTATCGGCGAGATAACGGTTGAGGAACAGGTGGTTGGCCATGAAGCAGTCACGAGAAGATATAATATTTTTCAATAAAATAATGCGAAGTTATTGCGAATGCGCATGAGATAGAGATGGATTGATGTGGAAGGCAATGACAAATACTCTCACTTGAAAGCTAACTGATTTAATATTCCTTGATGTACTCAAGGCTACTGATTGGTTTAGACGTGATTCTCTTGTATTAAATTTATTACTCGGCGGTCACTTTTCAAAAATCGGAAATTACATATTGCTTTGAGCTTTTGTTATTTTGCTACATCCTAGGAAACTCCACTATATCGCCGAAGTATCTAAAAATTGATGACAAAAAATAAACAATTTTTCACCTAGTTCTTGCAGATAGTATTTTAATGAGCTGAAATATTACTACTTCAGGAAAGACCACAAATAATTTGAAGCAAACTTTTTTCTTTCTGAGTATATCAATTATTTTCAGATAATGACCTCCAATTCTCGTCGTTAATATTTACAAGTTTTTCACAGGAAATAGTCCTTTATTTCCTCAATCAAATGAGCAGAACGAACTAAGAGAAAGGAACGGGAAGAACAGTAGGAACCGTTAAGTCCTTTCTAAAAACATGCCTTCTCACCAAAACACATTATCCTTATATTTCAATGTTAGAATTGCACACACCTTTGGATACAATTATTACTACTTCTACAACTATTATTAATTTATCTAAGATAAAAACAAAAAACTCATTAATGTGATTTTGACAAAAAACCAAATGAGTTTTCTGATATATAATAACACAAAATATTTTGTTGAAATGTAACGACCTTCATAATTTTCCTGAGAAAATTGTATATATAAATTTCTATCTAAAGTAAAAAAGCGTGATAGAATCGTAATAAGAATAAGAATATTAGTTAATTAGGGGTACTGAATAACAAGTGGATAATAATAGGCCTTTATGTGGAGAGCTTTAACTTTAATTTCCTGTTGATTTTATTTGAATTTATTTGAAAAGTTAAATTAATACCTAACGTCTCCACAGTCAAAATTACTATTTGACAAATACCAATATGCATTTTTTTTCAGTATTATAGCCGCATAGCTACAAAAGTAGGCTTTTGCGTTGATAATTAGTAAACTGTTAATTTTATTAGTTAGTTATAAGTTATTTATTAACAGATGCTTAAATACCCTATAACTTTGAAACCTTAATAAATATCAGAATAAGCACCGACATCAGTTTTCCTCTATCTCTTTTAAAATTGGTTCTTTAAAAGTGTCCAATTTGGCCCATTCCGTAGACTGCTACTTTAGAGTGTCGAAAGAACCCTTTTTGATATAAAATTTGGTGGATGCTCATTTCTCATTTACATCCTCCTTTACATCTTTATATAAAACTAACAAAAACACTTTGCAGATTTTAGGAAAGCACTCTCTTTCTCTCTTTTTTTTTTTTTAATAACGTAATGAATCTATATGTTATGTAGGTTTTTTCATTGCTGAGCAACTAAGCAAGATAAAGAAAGCTTTGTATTTTTGTCAATCGCCTGGAGGTCGCGCTTGCAATAAATCAATCATCATCATTCGAATGTTTTTAAAAGTACTCTTCGATTGTTGCAATCTTGCACAATTTCAATGACCAAGTTTGTTGCTATCGTTGAATAGCAATAATTTTTTCCCGGAAATTTATAAAAGAATACTATTTATGTTGTAGAGTTTATTAAAATGGCTTTATCAGACTTGTTACATAATATAATATTATTTAGTTAGGAAAATAAAAAACGGCGAACTCGTTAAGGTCCTTAAAGTCTGGCCATCAGTATTTTAAGTTCTCTAGTAAAAAGTCGTAATGAAACATTCCCCGATTATATTGAATAATTTTCTAAAAAATACATTTTTTGAACTAAATACTGCGTTGTGTGCCTGCGGTAATTAATATTGATCGCTCGTAATTAATGCCTTATTATTCTTGAATTTATTTTAAGATAATGGAAAGAAATACCAGGCCCCGGTAATTCGATGTCGTTGGTTTCGTGAATGTATGGCGTAACCATAACCGAAATGCAATCCGATATTTCTTATCCGATAGCCATTATTTAACGCGGCCAAATATGCTGGAGACATTTTCGCACTGAGTTGGGTTATTGTTGAATTTGTTTAGCAGCTGCTTAATTACTTGTCGTTTATAATTTGCTCTATCCGTTTCTGTTATGTAATAGTTAACAACAGTTACTGTTGCGAAAACCCCAATAAATATTTTGTGGAAACCCCAACAAAAATTTTATATTAAAATAAATAATTCGATGACTCAATAGTCAGTGCAACTCAGCACTTAACTCGAAAAAGTAAGGATTTTTTCACAAATTTTAATCTATTTTGAATTATACTGCTTTGTGTTGACTTCTAGTACGTATATTCTATAACCATTAAAAAAAATAATGCAGGGAGGTACACAAACAAAATTTGGTGCAGTTGCCGATTCAAGTATTCTGTCAAAAAACGCATTGTGTGAACTATGTTGGGATAAATATTGCGCATTGCACTTGCTGTAGTTATAAACGCTTTGATACTGTAAACTGCTGAGTAAAGGTTCCCATACATATTATATTACTTGCTTCTCAAAGTGTCAGCAATTTGTCTATATAAAACCACGGTGCGAACCACATCGCTAGCTTTTTTGTCTTCTCGCTTGAATAAAGTTTTTTAAAAAATCAAATTCCTTTTCCACGACGAAAACTGGCGCAGTCGGTAGGATTTCCGTGAAACAAGCATTCCAAAATCGACACTGTTTGGTCTCTCTCAAGAGTTTATTCGCGAAATCCGAACAACACAAAAAACTGTTCAAGTGGGTGCAAAGTGCTCAATTGGCCAGGGGAAGGAACAAGCATCGTCCACAACCCTATTGGTGCGAAATAAGGAACAAAAATCGTCCGAATTTCATACGTAGCCCAGGGAAGAGACAAGCATCGCTCATCCTATTGGAAAACTAGATTAAGAAACGAAACAACCAGGAATGAAAATCGTCGTTCTCTCACTATTAATGTAAGTTTTTCTTTTGTAAATATTTTTCTGATTCAAACTGGAAAGATTAATTTCTCGTTTTGAAACATTAGAGTTAAAACCTAGAGTAGCTTCTGTCGATAATTTTAATACATCATCTGATTCCGATTCCGATTCTGACATTAATTTAAACACAATGCCGGATACGGTGAATCTTCAATTAGTTAGGTACCAAGCGAATAACATCCCTCATTTCGACGGCAATCCTAAACAAATAAATCGTTTTATTAGAATCTGCGAAAATTTTCTAACTAATCATCAAAATGTAAATAACCCAAATGCTTCAATAAATGTTTGTTTAATCGATACAATAATTAGTAAATTAATTGGTAGAGCAGCTGATTTAATAGCTTCTCGTTCTGAACTCGATAGTTGGTTAAAAAGTAAAACAGCCTTTCTGGCAACGTTTTCCGATCAAAGATCAGTTGATTGTCTTTTACAGGATATAATTTCAATGAAACCCAATAGTAGCGAAAGTGCGCATAATTTTGGTTTACGCTTGCAAGATGCCCGTAGTATTTTATTTTCAAAAATTAACTCTACATGCGAAGATATCAATATAAAAACTCTAAAAATTATCCAATTTGAAGATCTAATTTTAAAAACATTTATAAACGGTCTTAATTACCATATGCAGTTAGTTGTACGTTTAAGAAATCCAAAATCTCTCGAAGAAGCCATGTCGTTCTCGTTAGAAGAAGAAAATTTTATCGCTTATAAAAATCGTGTTGATATTTCAACCAAAACTACACCTGTTGCAATGCAAAATAAACCAAAACCTCTATTAGGTCAATACCCAATTAATTACCCATTAGCTCCACAAAATTTTACTAGCCCATTTCAACCGCCAACAATTCGACCAAGTTTTAATAATTTTAACCCCCCGAGATTTCAAAATAATTTCCAAACAAGACCTTATTTTCAGAATATTCCAAGACCAAATTTCCAAAATAATCAAAGACAAAACTTCCCGAATATTCAAAGAATTAACCCGATGATCCAAAGACATCAATTTAATCCAAGACCTTACCCATTTATGACAAAAATTTGACAAACCGGAACCTATGGATACTTCATCAGGCAATACCCGTATAAATCAAATTCAACCAAATAAAAATTACTATCTAGCAAAAGAGATTGACAATCAATCCACAACCCCTCAAGCTAATTCAAACAACGAAATATCAAATTTTGAAAGTGAAAATCCTTATGATTTTTATTATCACGAATATCCCATCCTTGAAGAACAATACACCTACGACACAAATTATGATACACAAGAATTTTCCGATCAAATATATCAATTAGACGAAAATAACTA